TTTGGATCCCTAATTCCTTTCATACTTTTCAGCTCTTCCAAAACATCCCTGAGCCCCACAGTAACTTCCTAGCAGAACATCTGCCCACTTCAGAGCTCGCTGAGCTGCAGCAGCAGTTGATAACCCCTGCAGATTTCTGTGATCAGTAGAAACTACTCAAGGATCACAGGCTGGGACATGTCTGACAAGAGCGGGAAGATTTGCACAACAGTCTGGGCTGAGAGGGGAGCTGGGGACAAATGGGGAGCAGCAGGAGACATGTGAAGGGTGGCATGATGTGACATGATGTGACATGACTGACAGCTGAGCAGGACCCTCCCTGTCTGTGCCCTGACTGCCCTGATCCAGAGCCCTTCACAGGAAGGATGAGACCACGGTGCTTCCCCAGGGTCCCCATCCCCTGCTGTGCATCCAGGGATGGCTGGGGAACATCCCAGAGCATCCCAGAGTATCACAGAGCATCCCAGAGCATCCCAGAGCATCCCAGTGTATCCCAGAACATCCCAGAGTATCCCAGAGCATCCCAGAACATCCCAGAGCATCCCAGAGCATCCCAAAGTATCACAGAGCATCCCAGAGCATCTCAGAGTATCCCAGAGCATCCCAGAGCATCCCAGAACATCCCAGAGTATCCCAGAGCATCCCAGAGCATCTCAGAGTATCACAGTGCATCCCAGTCCATCCCAGAGCATCCCAGAGCATCCCAGTGCATCCCAGTACATCCCAGAGCACCCCAGTTCATCCCAGTGCATCCCAGTGCATCCCAGAGCATCCCAGAGCATCCCAGAGCATCCCAGTACATCCCAGTGCATCCCAGAGCATCCCAGAGCATCCCAGTGCATCCCAGAGCATCCCAGAGTATCACAGAGTATCACAGTGCATCCCAGAACATCCCAGAGCATCCCAGTACATCCCAGTGCATCCCAGTGCATCCCAGAGCATCCCAGAGCATCCCAGAGCATCCCAGTACATCCCAGTGCATCCCAGAGCATCACAGAGCATCACAGAGTATCCCAGTGCATCCCAGTGCAGCCCAGTGCAGTCCAGAGAATCCCAGTGGATCTCTGAGAATCCCCGTGCAGCCCAGAGCATCCCAAAGAATCACAGAGCAGCCCAGAGCATCCCAGTGCATCCCAGAAAATCTCAAAGAATCCCAGAGCATCCCAGTTCATCCCAAAGAATCCCAGAGCATCCCAGAGTATTCCAGAGCATCCCAGTGAATCCCAGAACATCTCAGTGCATCCCAGAGCATCCCAGAGCATCCCAGTGCAGCCCAGTCCAACCCAGAGCATCCCAGTGCAGCCCAGTCTAACCCAGAGCATCCCAGTACATCCCAGATCATCCCAGTGCATCCCAGAATATCCCAGAGCATCCCAGTGCATCCCAGAACATCCCAGTGCATCTCAGTTCATCCCAGTTCCTCCCAGTTCATCCCAGTGCATCCCACTGCATCCCAGAGCATCCCAGAGCATCCCAGTGCATTTCAGTGCATTTCAGTGCATCCCAGTTCATCCCAGTGCATCCCAGTTCATCCCAGTACATCCCAGAGCAGCCCAGTGCATCCCAGTCCATCCCAGTGCTGGGTTTCTCCTGGCAGCTCCAGATCTGCCTCGCTGAGTCCTTTCCTGGCAAGTACCAGGCTCCTCTCTGCCAGGCACGCTTGTTTGCACAGGAAAAAAGAAATTTCTCCTCCCTCTCCTGGGATCTTTAAGAGCAAATTCTCAGCCCAGCCTCTGTGCCAGGGGCAGAGCATCAGCCTGTTCCCAGCTCATCTCAGGAGGCTCCAGCTGCTCCTCCTCTTCCAGCCAAAGATTTGCAGGGCACTGCTGCAAGAAGGCTGAGGCCAATAAAAGTCCTCACAAGCTGTTAATTCAGAAATGGCTCCGCTGGAAATCCTTGCCAAATAAAATAAAAATAAACTCCTGGTGTTCCCCAGAGATATTTGTGTACATCTGCTGGCAAGACTCATGCCTTGAATATATTTTCAGCTTTTTGTAGCATTCACAGTGAAGAGAAAATTAGCTTTGACACTTGTGCTCAAAATATTAATATTGGGTTTTTTTAGTATTTTTCCCTAGAATATGCAACTGGGACCCCAAAGGGAAAAAAAAAAAAGGTTAAAAAATCACTTATCTATGCAGCACTTCACAGAAATACACAGAAGAGTTTTATTTGAGGATAAATGGAGCCACACCTACCCTGAAATGAGATCTGACCTCTGTAAAAGCAGAGAGCAGCCCTTGTCCCCAAGGTTTTACAGTCAAAATGAAAATAAACAGTGAATTAAGGAAGGGAACAGAGTCAGCGATGGGGTTTGGCTGGGATTGGAGCAGGCAGCCTTTGGTGTTTTACAAAGCTGCGCTGGCTGAGAGCTGGAGCTGCCCCAGCCTGAGCCCCCTGCCCTGGGCTGAGCCCAGATGGGCAGCAGGGCAGGGGGATGCTGCCCCTGTGCCCTGTGCTCAGCTCAGACCCCACCTGCAGAGCTGCCCCAGCCCTGCCCAGGGGGATCAGAGGGATGGAGCAGCTCTGCTGGGAGGGAAGGCTGGCACAGCTGGGGCTGTTCACCTGGAGAGGAGAAGTTTGGGGTGACCTCAGTGGCCTGGCAGAGCCTGAAGGGGCTGACAGGAAAGATGAAGTGTTACAGTGAGCTCATGGGCATTCTGTTTCCCCTTCCCCGGGACCCTGTGACTCTGATCAAGATAACCCCTGGATCCTCCTTTCTGCCCCAACGGGGTTGGTGGGGAGCCAGGAAAGCCCACCCTGTCCAAAACCTGTATAGACCCCTGAGAATTCCTGTTCCCTCTTTTTTGCCCCGCTCTCCCATGGACACCACAGAATAAAGAGAGCTGTCCCAACACCCTGGGTAAGAGCCTCTTTTGAATATCTTTACCCTTCTCCTGATATTCCTCCCCTCACAGCCCCTTATCTCTGAGCTAGTCGGATTATTCAGGGGCTGCGTGAGGGGGGGAACCGCAATGGAGAGAGACTGTCCAAGGGCCTGGAGGGACAGGACAAGGGACCATGGTTTCACAGTGCCAGAGAGCAGGGCTGGATGGGATATTGGGCAGGAATTGTTCCTTGGGAGGGTGGGCAGGCCCTGGCACAGGTGCCCAGAGTAGCTGTGGCTGCCCCTGGATCCCTGGTAGTGCCCAGGGCCAGGCTGGACAGGGCTGGGAGCACTCTGGCAGCAGGCAGAGCCATGGATGGTCACTCACACCCTCCTGCACCCTCCAGCAGGGTCCCCTTTTTGCTCTAAATGTCCCCAAGAGCAGCCCAGGGACACCTGGCTTTGCAGAGCCTGAAGGTACAGGAAAGATGGAGAGAGACTGTCCAAGGATCTGGAGGGAGAGGACAAGAGACAATGGTTTCAAAGTGCCAGAGAGCAGGGATGGATGGGATATTGGGCAGGAATTGTTCCTTGGGAGGGTGGGCAGGCCCTGGCACAGGTGCCCAGAGCAGCTGTGGCTGCCCCTGGATCCCTGGCAGTGCCCAAGGCCAGGCTGGAGCAGCCTGGGACAGTGGGAGATGTCCCTGCCCATGGCAGGGGGTGGAACTAAGGGACCTTTAAGATCCCTTCCAACCCAAACCATTTCAGGATTCTCTCTTATCTCCCTAAACCTCCTGCTTTTCACTATTTCTTGCTTACTCTTTCCTACTTTCTCTTTCCCTGGTCTCTTCCCTCTCTTCTCTGCTGGCAAGGATCCCCCTCTTGCTGCTGGCAGCCTCAATCAGCCTCGCTGACCAAATCACACGTTCTGCTCAGAGCATGACTTGGAGCTCTCCAGGACATCAAGAACATCGCAATGGGAAGATCCATTCCGTGTCATTGAAGTGAGAAGAGCTGGCTGCATTTTTATGAGGGAAAGGGATGTTATAGACAGCCTGGGACATGAGAAAATAGTTTTCTTCCTTTGATCTTATTTTTTAAAAGCCCAAATCTGAAAAGCTTTCAATGGGGAGGTGGGGGGAACCAAATCTCTCTCGCTAAAAATAATGTTGACGTTTCCAGCCTGTTTCTCTACCCAGGGAAAAAGGAGAAGTCCCTGCACATCACTGTGTGTGCACATACACCTCAACGAAAGTTTCTGTTTTAATGAAAACTTTCCTGGGGACAAAAAAAAAAAAAAAAAAAATAAAAATAATCCATTTTCAACAGTCTGGGCAAGTCTAAATGGCAATATCTGCATGCCAAGCACTTCCTAGATGAGTGGATTTCCCTGGGGAGGGTGGGCTGCTGCAGAGTGGCAGGGAGAAAGGAAGGAACTTTCCTGGGATACAGGAACCCTTCCAGCTGCCAGCAGAGCTTGTTCCTCCCGGCTGTGCTGCTGACCAGCTCCAGAGGATCTCCACAGGCTGCAGCCCATCTCTGCTGGCAGCCAAGTAACACTGACATCATTTTCCCCCAAGTACAGTAAAATCACCCTTGTCCTAGTAGCAATAACAGACTCCTGTGAGAGCACAACGGTTTGTTAAGATTTTTAATTAAGATGATTTGGAAGAAGATGAGCCCCAGAGCAGACAACCATTGTATTTTGGGCCTAAGCCGCACGGTTTGGTGCAAAAGGTGAACACTGAGCAACGGGAAGCCTCTTGTGAATTCTGCTAAAATGGGGGGGATGAAGCAACACTTCAGAGAACCGTACCCCTTCTTTGGGGTCACTTGCTTCCTGTCACCTCACCTTCCCCAAAAGCCTCTTCCCCTTTCTCTGGGAAAGAAGAAACTGCCGGGCTCCGCTCGCCTCTGCCTCTCTCTCTCCCCCTGCTTCCCACTTTCACTCCCATCGGTTTCACATTCCCTCTGCCAGGCGGAAAATCTTGCGGAGCTGATGCAGCCGGGCAGGAGCAGCAGCTGCAGCAGGACCAGCAGCAGGAACAGCAGGAGCAGCAGCAGGAGAAGCAGGAGCAGCAGCAGGAGAAGCAGGAGCAGGAGAAGCAGGAACAGGAGCAGGAGCAGCAGCAGGAGCAGCAGCAGCAGCAGGAGCAGGACCAGAAGCAGGAACAGCAGCAGGAGCAGCAGCAGCAGGACCAGCAGCAGCAGCAGCAGGAGCAGGGCTGATCCTGGTTCCGCCCACCGGGACTTTCCTGGCTTCCTCCTGCAGGGAGCGGGGGGAGCAGGAGCGGCCGGAGGCAGGAGCCGGCCCCGGCAGCGCGGGGAGCGCTCCCGCCGCTCCTGCCGGGTTTCTACTGTAGGCGGTGCATTCCTCGGGAGGGAGGGAGGGTGTGCGCGCCGGTGCCTTCCCACACTCGCGACAGCTCTTATTTAATGGGGGTCTCCATGCAGGGCAGGCAGCACAGGAGGTTTGGCGGTGCCCGGCTCCCTGCAGGACGCGCCCGGCGCTGCTGGCATGGAGAGCGCGGCGGAGATGGGCGCGGAGGCTGCGGGCAGCGGGCACGGCGCCGGGCTGCGCCTCCGCCAGGACCTCCGCAGGATCCGCTGCGCTCTGCTGCTCTGCCTGCTGGCCGTGCTGCTGCTCATGCTGCCCACAGCCTACCTGCTGGTCGGGAACCTGCGAGCGCCCAGCTCCTGCGGCAGCCAGGTAAGGCAGGCACCGGGGAGCGCACCTGAGTCCCGCCGCGCCTCCCCACCGAGCCGCTCCGGAGCGCTTTTCATGCTCTTGATCAATCAGGGAAGGTTTAGGTTGGGTATTAGGGGAAAAAAATTTCACTGAAAGAATAATAAAATAGGAATTGTCTTCCTATTTTGGAAGATGGAATCACCATCTCTGGATATATTTTAAAAAATACTGGACTTGGCACTTGGTGCTATAGTCTAGTTGAGGTGTTAAGGCATAGGCTGGAGTTGATGATCTTAGAGGTCTCTTCCAACCTCATTATTCTGTGATTCTGTAATTTCTCGCCTTCGACAGCACGCTCGAGGCTCGCTGTGGCATTCCTTCTTCCTCACCCTGATGATAAATCTGATTATGGCTCGTTCTTTTTAACTAACGGTTCCTCACTTTCAAGCAGAGTACATGGTTTTGGGACTTTTATTGCTGGGCTGCAGGGAATGCTTAAAAATCACTGATTTCTGCCGGATTTTTGACACTGTGTTGCATTTTCCTCCCTTCTTTTGGGTTAAATCTCTGGCTTCTCCTCTCAGTGTCTGGTTTCAGGAGTATGTGACTTTGAAACTTTTATTGCTGTGCCGTAGGGAATGCTTAAAAAAAAAAAAAAATCACTGCTTGGTGGAAATCACTGTCTGTGCACTGATTTCTGCCAGATTTTTGATGCTATGGCTCATTTCCCTCCCTTTTTTTGGGTTAAATCTGTGGCTTCCCCTCTCAGTGTCTGATTTCAGGAAGACCTGCTGATGTCACTGGGTCAGTCACCCGTGGGCTGGTGGATAATTAATTATTATTAATGTGAACTTCCGCAGAGATCCAATTTGAGACAGCTAAAGAGAGTCTGACCCTGAACTTTCCATCCTGGTAACTCCCCATTAAAACTTTCTCTCAGTCCAGGGCTCTTCTCAGCTCTTCTCCTTTGCCAGGCAGCTACTCTCACTTTGCTCCCAGCCATACAAACTTCTGCTCTGCTGATTCCGACCCTTTTCCAGCTGCTCCATCCCTCCTGCAAGTGCCTCTTCCCACGGGAGGCTGAGTTCAGCAGGAACACCCCATGCTCTAGGTCTGGTGAATTACGCTTTGAATTTTAGCTTCAGCTCTGAAAATCCTCAGTTAATCAGGAGGATTAAGGGCCCTAGGAAGGAGGGTGGGTTTTCAGTGGCCTCGCAGGCAGGGTTGTCACCTGGCTCACGTTTAGCCCGGGGATGTTTGGGGAGGGTGAGAGCGGCGGCCGCGCCTCTGCCGGCGGCTCCCAGGGCTGCGCTGGCCCCGCCGTGACCCCGAGGCTGCTCTGCCCCAGTGATGCTGAGCTCAGGGCGCAGCATCCTCTGTCTGACCTGGCTCTAACCTGGTGCACTTAAATCTGGCAATTCCTTGAGGGTGTGAGCTGTGCTGCTGCCTGACTTTGTCCCAGCTGTAAAACCCAGGCTGCCCTACCTGCAGATGCCAAAGCACAGCTTTCTTCAGGGGCTGGGCATGAGCTGAGAGGATTTGGAGGCCTTCAGTTTGGGAAATGTGGAATTATAGCAGAGCAGAGGTTGAACGTGGAGGAGCTTGGAAAGCTGGGTGCTACTCGAGGTTGGGGGTAAAATTCACGAGGTGCTTTGGGCAGCCTCTGCTACTGCTCTAGGTTTGTGTCCCATGAGAGAAGAACAGGCTTGAAATCTTGGAGTGGAAGAATAATCAAATGTTAACTTCTTTAATCAATCCAATGCGTTCCTGGATCGTGACCCTGTTGGCAGCGTTAGCAGAGAAAAGGTTTTTTAATGAGTGGGTTTGCTTCTTAAGAGGAAGAGCACGACGTAAACGGTCAGAATTGCAACTCTGGTGTGCATTCCCATGCACCTGCTCCCGGTTAGGAACACGTCATCTCTCCACAATGATGTTACGAGGTGATCAGACGAGTTACAACCTCTGCGAGTCCCAGGGAGGAAGAGGAAGGTCACTGGGGCTGGCAGGGTGCCCTGGGTGCCGTGGGAGAAGCTGCACCTCAGCTGGGCCCTGCCTGTTCCCGACTTTTCATTGACTCTGCTGCTCTCTGTGCTCACCACTGACCCTGCTGCTGTCTGTGCTCATCGGTGCTGTCCAGCAGGAGCACAGCGGCCTGGGTGGCTCTGCCTGGAGCCTGCAGGTTCAGGGTGGTTCAGTCCCTGGGAATATTTCTGGCCATAAAAGCTCTCAGGAAAATGTCTTTTTGCATTTCCTTCTGCATTCAAAATTTGCTAGATGGCTCCGTCCTCATGTGCCCCATTGACAGCTCGGATGGGGACTTTTGGGACCAGCCACGTGTGGCAGAGCTCTCTGTGGCACTGCTTTTGGGGTGTGGGTTCCCTGGGCACTGTGGGATGAGTGGGCAGCCCTGAGGATGCCCCAGATGAGTATTGTCCTCCTGACCCTTGCAGCCCATGGGAGGAGTCCTCTGGTTGCCCCACAGAGCTCTGCCCACACACGATTGTCACCTTCGAGTGCTCTGGGGACAGCGCTGGGAGGAGGGAGGGACTCAGCAGGCGAGGAGCAGATGGAGTGAATTCCTGAGTCCTTCCTGGAGCAAGAGGAGAAGGGAAACCCGGGAAGGTTTGTGCAACAGGGGAGTGTCCCTGGGCACGCTGCCCGCAGGGTGAGGCACATTGGTCATCCCTGCCTTGCCGTGGGTGCACGTGGTGTCACCTGGTGCCTCTGAAGGGATGCAAACTCATCTCTTTCACTGGAAATGTCCCTTTCAGGAAAAAGGAGAGCAAGTTATGTCATTACAGCAGCATGTGTGGGCTACCTTGTGTGTCATGGTGCAGTGCATCTTGAATGAATAATTCCAGTCTGGTGATGGTTTTCCCTGGACACCTTCCAGGCTCCCTCCGTTGCTCCTTTGGGAAAGAGAAATCACTTTCTTTTGTGCTTCAGTCCAGAGTGAGGAGAGGAAAAGGAGTTTTTCAAACCAGAACACGTGGCTTGTGTTGCTAGCAGAAAATCTATATTAAGGCCATAGTGGTGCCCTGCTGGAGGAAGGGACATCCTTCCTCAAAGGGAAGCCAAGTTTCGGGCTGAGTTCCCAAAACCATCAATGGAATGACACAGGAGAGCAGCTCTGGCTGCCTCAGCATCCCACCCAGCAGAGCATCAAGTCCTGTGGCCTGGAGAAGTTGGTATTTGGGTTTATTTTTCATGGCATCCTTGGCACGTCAGGGCCACAGGCAGCATAAAGAGGAATCCCAAATCCTGTCCCACGGGTTGGACATGCAGCTGTGTGCCAGGTCTGTGCCATGCCAGCTGGCAGTGGAGAAGGGACCTGCTGCAGAGCAGGAGGAACTGGAAAATCCCAGGGGCTCCACCTGGATCCTGCCAGAAAGCTGGCAACAAATCCCAGGAGAGATCTGCCCTCGTGGCCTGCCCACAAAGCAAGGAGAACCTCAAAAGACTTCCTGGTCTTTGGGGAAGGAGAAATGCCTGGGGAGGAGCAGCAGCACACCTGGATGGGCCCAGGTGTTGGGATTCCCCTTCCAAAGCCAGCACCAGGTACATCCCTGCCTGGCCACCGCTGCTGGATGCAGATGCTCCTTGTGAGCACATACCTTGGGTACAGCATTCCACTGGGCAGCAAAATGTTCTGATTGAAGCCAGGTTTTACTGGCACAGACCAATTCCTGCCAAAAATTCCCAGCCCAGGCCATGCAGCATGTCAGGAGATAGAAAAAAATGGGGTTTATGTAGATGGCCTGCAGAGATCCTCCCTGTGAAGCAGTGCTGAAGGGGAGTGCCTGGAGGAGCTGGGGCTTTTCTGCTTATCAGTCCCTCTGCCTGCAGTGCCAGCTGCTCTTGCCATGCCCCTGGATAGCAGCCCTTCTTTTGGGGTGCAGAAATACCTGGATATAAATGCACCAGGGCTGTTTGGACATTTGGGGTACCAGAAGTGTTCAGCACACAGCAATCCCCAGGATCTTTAGAGCTGCCTGTCCTTGAGTCAGCTCAAGGTGGGATTTTCAACATCACTCAGTGGTTGGGCTCTCCACAGTAACCCAAGGGAAAATTGAAGCTGTGAACTTTTCAGAACCACAGCTGAGCAGGAAAAGGAAAAGAGAGAAAAGCAGTGATTGTGTGAATGTTCTCTCTATTGTTTCAGTTCTCCCTTCCCATCAATGCACAACATCTCTGCCTATTCAGGACAAGTATTTCTGACACCTGGTTTATGCAGCATTGCTACTGCTAAAACATCTTCTGTAGGACATTTGTATTTATATTTACACCTTTGTGAGATAGCACAATTAGGAAAAAAAACAAAGAACAGCCATACCTTTGCCAAGCAACAGAATAATTTCACACCTTGCTCTGTCCCCCTGCTCTATCTGCTCTGTCCTTCAGCATCTCTGAATGCAGCTCCTGCACCTGGAGTCTCCAGCTGGATTTCTTAGGAAACAAGTACATTTAGGTTTAAACAAAACCTTTTCGTTATCTTTTATAAAGAAGCAGAATTCTTCTTGCTCTCCTTCCCATTTTCCTGCCACCTCTGTTTGGATTGCAACATCCAAGTTTATACAAGGAACTTCAGCAGAAGTTAAGCTTCAAGTGTGTAAACAGTTCCACAGAAGTTACATTCTTAAATATAGGTTTGGGACTGATTATTTCCCTGGCTGCAGAATCCTTAGAGAATGGGATCACTAATGAGAATTATTTACTCGGGAAATAGGTAGGAAATGCCAGACAAGGAATGTGTAAATATACTCCCAGGTGAATACGGCTGGCTGAAAGCCAGGGGAGTGTGAGGGAAAGCCTTAATTCTGACCTTGTGCTTCCCACCAGGGCAGGGACAAGTCACCAGGCTGTGGCTGAGTCACATCAACAGGGCACTCGTGCTCAGAAAGCAGCACTTTGTAACCCTCACACATAGGGAAAGGCTCAGAAATCTCCTGGAGAGCACAGCACCAATTTTCCCTCAGCCCCACACTGGATGCTCACACCAGTCTCTGCCAGGAGGCTGCTGGGGCTGGGCCACTCATCTGTGCACAGGTGGGCAAGGGAATACAAAAAAAAAGAGAATTTTTCCTGCTGTTTTCCTCCTCTATTTTTTCCCACCGCACTGGAGCAGCTATTTCAGAAATGACTGATTGCTGCAGGAGCACACGGATGTTTACTTCCAGTAAAACATTAAACTATTTTTGGGTTTCCTGGAGCAGCCAGCAGCCCCCAACCCCAGGCAGGCTGACTCTCCTTCCACAAACATTCCCCTTCCCCAGCCAATATAAATTATCTATCTTCTCCTTCTCCTGCAGTGTTTGAAGCTGTGTGAGACACAGCCAGCAGGAGCCAGCTTCAGCATCTAGATATTGATATTGTTTCTTTTTTTGGGCAAAGTGCTTCAGATAGTTTGCTATGAGCTGACCTGGGGTGGTTTATTCAGTTTATTCAGTGTGGTTTTGGTGTCTGCCCATAAAAAACACCTGTGTGCTCCTGAATGGTGCTATGGGATGGGGGTTCCTGACAGCCCTGAGGTCAGCCCTGAGGGTCAGCACAGCCCAGGGCTGCTCCTCACAGCCCGTGAGGCTGGATGCAGAGGCAGCATCCCCCACCATGCCCAGCATCCCCCAGCACCCCCAGCACCCCACAACATCCCCCAGCATCACCCTGCATCCCAAAGCATCCCCCAGCACCCCACAGCAACCCCAGCATCCCACAGCATCCCCCACCATCCCACAGCACCCCCCAGCACCCCCAGCATTCCACATCATCCCACAACATCCCACAAGATCCCCCAGCATTGCCCAGCATCCCAAAGCATCCCCCAGTATCCCACAGCACCCCCAGCATTCCAAAGCATCCCAAAGCATCCCCCAGCATCTCACAACATCCCCCATCATCACCCTGCATCCCAAACCATCCCCCAGTATCCCACAGCATCCTTAGCATCCCCAGCATCCCCCACCATCCCCCACCATCCCCCACCATCCCCCAGCATCTCCAGCATCCCAAACCATCCCCCAACACCCCACAGCATCCCACAGCACCCCCAGAATGCTCCCTCTGGAGCTGCCAGGGTGCACAGCCCTGGCCGTGCCATGCCCGGGTGACTTGGGAGGAGCAGCAGGTGACTGAGGAGATTCAAGAGCAGCAGGTGACTGAGGAGATTCAGGAGCAGCAGGTGACTGAGGAGATTCAGGAGCAGCAGGTGACAGGAGATTCAGGAGCAGGAGGTGACTGAGGAGATTCAGGAGCAGAAGGTGGCTGAGGAGATTCAGGAGCAGCAGGTGACTGAGGAGACTCAGGAGCAGGAGGTGTCTGAGGTGACTCAGGAGCAGCAGGTGGCTGAGGAGATTCAGGAGCAGAAGGTGGCTGAGGAGATTCAGGAGCAGCAGGTGACTGAGGAGATTCAGGAGCAGCAGGTGACAGGAGATTCAGGAGCAGCAGGTGGCTGAGGTGACTCAGGAGCAGCAGGTGGCTCAGGACACGGGTGACAGGCACAGTCTGTCCCTCGAGCTGCTGCAGGGCAGTGCCCAGGGCCGTGTCCTGCCTGAGGGGAATGGGAGTGCCCAGCTCCAGAGGGGAATTGCAGAGGAGAGGAAGGATGAGCCTTCCCCAGAGCAGCAGAGCTCACCCTGCAGCTGCTCCCTCGGCTCTGCTCAGCTCCTGCCTCCCCAGGAGGTCACCCAAAATTCCACACTGACCTCAGGAACAGGCTTGGCCCAGGTGCAGGACAAAAGGCAGGTGGAGCTGATCCACCTCAGTCTCTCTGCTGGTCGTGGAGAACCTTTGCTCCTGTTGTGGGGAACCTTTGCTCCTGTAAAGGCTCAGACCTGCCCTGCCTTGAGAAGAACCTCTGCTCTGCTCTGCTTGCTGTGCCTGGATTGAGGGCAGCTCCAAGCAGCAGTGCTGGGCACCAGCCCATGGCTGGGTCACACTGGCCACTCTGCTGCTGCTCCCCCGGGCGTGCCAAGGGCTAGTCCAGCTCAGAATCTCACAAACCTCCCCCCAGGTCCTGTCAGAGGGGAAGGCAGCTCTAAACCAACAGCAGAAATGTCTTGCAGTGAAGCAAAGACGTGTCAGGGCTCACCTTTTTGCCAAAATGCTCCATCTGAATTCACGGATGTCACTGCAGCTGTTCATGTTTTGGGATAATTCCTACAAGACCCTCTGAGCTGACTGCTGTCACTGTCCCCTGCAGGTCACAGAGGAGAGGGGCTCTCACTTTCTGAAGCAACGAGCAGTGGCTGCTGGTGAGTTTGGCACCCTTTCCCCTCGGGAGCTGCACCCCAGCATCCCTCCCCACTGCCCTCTGCCCTCACCACCCCAACCCTGCCCAGACAAACCTGCCTGGCGACACTGGGGGGAGATGCAGGGGGAGAACCCTGGGCAGGGGGAAATGGGAGCATTTCTAACCCCGGGCTGTCGAAGCTGGGCAGGCACAGGCTTCCCAAAACTCTGCAGGGTCAGTGTGTCAGCGCTCAGGAACACACATCACCACGGGATATCATTATCTGCAGGTGCTTTTATTGAGAGCTCTGGGAGTCAGGGGTACAGACCCAAATCTGACTCCGACACAGCTTTCAAACTGAATATATTTTATATTCTATCATTATATAACTTACATATTAATTATTAAACTTATATTGTTCTATTGTATACATTGACATGAGTTTCTCGTGATCTTTCTTAGGCCCCTGACCACAGTTGCTCATTATTAGTCTTATGATTAAACAGTAATTATATTTAATGACTAAACAATCATCACATCTAACAATTACATCATTTATTATGTACTAGCTACAGAGGTGCAGTTCTAGCAAGTAAAAGTTCTTCATGTGCTTAGGGTGTTTATTTTTCCAGGGCCTACTAAGCTTATTTTTCCTTTTAACCCTAAATCCCCATGATTTTAAAACCCTTTTACTACCAAGTGGGACACCCTGAACAAGCACAAGCAGGGATTTGGGAGCCCTTGCTCCTCACACTTCCCCTCTGTGTGCCCCCCCTCAGTTCAGGGCACAGCCACAATGTGCCCTGCTGGTTGCAGCAGCTCTGACAAGTTCCCTCTTTGCAGTTTATTACCTCAGGGGTGTCACTGAGAGATCACAGAGAATCATTCCCCACTCAGACTCTGCAGAAGGGAGAGAGCTGCACATTTCCTCCTGGACATCAGTCACCACTCATATTTTATTGACTTAGGAAAGGTTCTTCCCCCAGAGGTGCTGGCACTGCCCAGGCTGCCCAGGGAATGGGCACGGCCCCGAGGCTGCCAGAGCTCCAGGAGCCTTTGGCCAGTGCTCAGGGATGCCCAGGGTGGGATTTTGGGGGTCTGGGAGCTGGGCTGGATCATCCTTGGGGTCCCTTCCAGCTGAGGATATTCTGTAATTTTATTATTGAACAGCAGCAAACATCCTCACACCATTTTTTTTTCCCTTTTCCCTCAGTTACAGACACACTTTCCAGCGCAGAGAAGCCACGAGCTCACCTGACAGGTAATTCTCGTTCACAACTAAATCCTTTTTACAGCCAATGTTGTGGTTCAGTAACCTTGGTCTGTGTGGATCTGACAGGAGCAGGTGTTGCAGGGAGCATGGGGGACAGAATAATCAGCTTTGCCTTGTGGAGCATGCCAGACTGAGTGCAGTGTGTCTGTAGGAAAGGGCCCACCAAGGGACAGCTGACAGAAATGTCACTTTTCCGAGCTGTTTCTTTTATTGAATGACCAGCTTTTGTAACTGAACTGGAACAGGTACCTAATGTCTCAGTGATCTGCTGAATCCTCCAGAAAAGGTAGGGAAGGAGCTCATGTGAGCCCTCGTGGACCAGTGAATTGGCAAGAATTACAAGTTTTGGAGCAAAATCAGGTCAAATCAGGCTGGTTTTATTTTATTTTTCTGCAAGGCCTGACTCAGACTACACGCACCATATTCCTATAAATCCTCCCTCCTGTTTTCAGGGAGATAATCTCTAACACATTTCAGAGCAAGCAGGGAAAGGGTAACTCCAAATTGAGCCCTCCAAGTTTTTATGTTGTCTTAGGAAGGTGCCATCACAAATCCTATCACAGGGTGGGCTGCCAGGCCTTTCCAAAAAGCTTCCAGGCCTTTCCAAGAGCTTTCCATGCCTTTCCAAGAGCTTTCCATGCCTTTCCAAAAGATTTCCATGCCTTTCCAAGAGCTTTCCATGCCTTTCCAAGAGCTTTCCATGCCTTTCCAATAGGTTTCCACGCCTTTCCAAGAGCTTTCCATGCCTTTCCAAAAGGTTTCCATGCCTTTCCAAGAGCTTTCCATGCCTTTCCAAGAGCTTTCCATGCCTTTCCAAGAGCTTTCCATGCCTTTCCAAGGGGCTGCCAGCATCTCCAAGGTCCTCATGTCACCACCTCAACCTTGAAGCTCCACCCACATGGAAAATTTAGGTATTCCCAGAGAAAAGTTCCTGTCTGGCTCCAGTGTGGATGGAGTGAGTGGCAAAGGGTTTCCAGCTGGCCTGAGGCCATTTATCCTTCTCCAAAGTACAGCTCACTGCAGAGGCTTCCCCAACACCCCAAGTGCTGCCCCAGGGTGAACTTTACAACTTGAAAACTGCAGGAAGTGCTGGGATGTTTCTCTCAAATCCTCCTGCAGAGATCCAAATCCACCCCCAGGGTCCCATCAATCTGCAGCTCAGGGCTGATGCATTTCCCAGCAGAATTTCCTTCCCTTGATCCACCAGCTCCTCCCTGGTGCCCATCCTTGGTGTCTTTCCCTTTGGCACGGGGGTTTCTGGAGCTCCAAACCTGACCTGGCCTTGTCCACAATCACATCTTTGCCCAAGTGCAAGTTCTAAGGAGCAAGAGGACCATGTCTGCTGCTGTAAGGTTTTGGTTTTTTAAATCCCCCGTGGCAGAGAGCCAGAGGCTCCAGTGACTCAGAGGAGCAGCCAAAGCTCTGCTCTGCTGTTGGGAACTTCCCTGGGTTGCATAAAACCCCAGCTGCCACAGGGAAACACCCAGCAGTTTTCTCCAAAATTTTTCAGCCCCCATATTTACAAAAATTCCTTTGCCATCACTCCCAGGCCTCCCTGGGACTGTGTCCATCCTCTCTGGCATTCCACTGAGGGCCAGTCACTGCTGGCCATAGAAAAGAGCAAGAAAAGGAGAAACTTAATTTTCTCTCTCCTTTCTGTGCTGTTCTGTGTAGTCATCAAGGAACACAATATCTATGAATTATCTTTGACCTTTTTAGCCTGAACATATTCCTGGTGCTTCTCCCTGTGGCAATGACTTTCCCAGCTCAACAGCACTTTGCAGGCAGAAAATATTTCCTGTTATTTTCAGCTCTGTGCTTAATACTATTTTGGGTTCCACCCTGGTTTTCCCTTCTCAGAAGCCATGACTTGTGCATAGAAAGTGTAAAAGGAATATTCTCCTGATCTTTGTTACATTCCCCCACCTCAGGGGCCTTGTTCAACGTGAAGGTGGCAGACTACAAATCCTAAATTGTAGGAAATCTCTTCCACACCTTTATTCTGTCTTTTTCTAGTTTTAGGCACATCTGTTGTGAAGGTGAGAGCAGAGGAGGGAGAGGAATGAGAATTAGATGGGGTTCTTTGGGAATGCACTGATTAATTGGCAGTAGCAGAATAACTCCATGTTTTGGTGTCTGTTCCTTCATGATAAATCTTCCAGCTGCTCTTGACCTTTTTAACTCCCACTGAGAATTTTTATTCATCCCGACTGGAATTGAGATCTCCCCTCCCTGATGATTTTGCCTACTGAGATGTGCCAATCCCCATCTCAGAGTTCCCTCCATGCCCATTTTCTCCTGTGTATTAATGTTCATTTGGGGCTTCTCCTTGCCTTGCCATCAACCCCTCCCCACTTATTTGGTTGGATTTGGGGTCAGAATTCAGGGCAGTGCCTTTTCCTTCTTGTCACCAGCCTGTGGCACAGTGACCAATGCTGCAGGACCTGGCTCGTGCTCCTCGTGCTGCAGTGGTCCCAAACCTCTAAATCAGGGCAGAGCTTCATTTATCCTTCCAAATTACCTTTATTAAATCCTCAGGGCATGGCTGGAGCACCAGAGGACACAGGACCCTGCCCCACAGGGGCTCCAGCACAGGTTCCAGTCTCTTGCTGAGACTCAGAGCTCAGGATTAGGCTCTGCCATTGCTGCTAAGAACTGCAGAAACCCCACAAATTCAGCACAAAATATATCCCAAATCTGACAGGCAACAGGGATTCTCCAGCAAGGGACTGAACCTGTCCAGAGGACAGGAGAATTAAGGGATGCCAGAAATTTATAGTGAGAAAACAGAAGGAGCTGTGGCAATGAATCTCTTATTAAAAGCAGATTTTAATTCTTTTAAGAATTAGAATCATAAGTATATTTGCAGGAAGCAGAGCTCCAGAAATTAGGAAATAAATAAGTAAATGACAAGTACAAAATACAGCTGCTGCTAGAAAAGGAGCTGTGCTGTATTAAAAAGCACTTGAGCATTCATTTTATTCTCCTGTTACTGAAAGCATGGGGAAAAGTAATTAACTTGAAAATAGAGAGCATCAATAGAGGGAGATTCATCCTAAAAGGGAGGTTAAAGTTGTGAAACCTGACTAATTCTAAAAGTTAGGAAGTCATGTAGTTTATTTGAGATATTCTATAATAAAATTTAATTATAACTAATATAAAAATGCATTGTGGAATTGAGTGTCATTGACATTTTAAATGCATCATTCTACAAGAAAAGAACATTTCACAGGCAGCTTCTCTTCAAGTTTCCCCCAAAATTCCAGAGATGGACTAGACCCCAGGACATTTTCTGGAAATATTCTGATCTTTCCTCTTTCCTCTTGCTGCCATAATCCCTGTCTGTCTTCCCCTTCCCTGAAATAATACTTTTCTCATCCACTTTGCCTCCTGGGAAAAGATCAGAAGGATTTGATATTTCAGCAGCACTAAAAAAAAAAAAAAAAAAAAAACAAAACCCAAACAAAAAAAAAAAGTAATTATTTTGTTCTGCTACTCAGAGAATATAAAAGGAATTGCACTCCTAACAGCTTCCTGTCTCCTCAGGGATTATTTATGGTTGGAAAAGAGGGAAACAGATGCCACTGGGACATGAGCACATTCCTTTTTCGGAGTCTCATTTCACCCAGCATGGACCTAATGGTTATTGCCAAGGGAATTCCAAAGCCTTCCCTCACCTGCATCCCATTTGCCCCCCTGCCCCAAATACTGAATAAAAATCAACTTTAAACATGAACACAAACTCATTGAAAAGGTCTCAGTTCCTGGAACTCTGTTCCCCCAATCTCTTCTAAGCATTCCTCATACATTTTCCAGGTTCATTTTAACACCTGAGATAATCTGGATGGGTTTTATCCCCTTTTTCCCACTGCTGCTGTTTTAGCACAACAATTCTATGTGGCAGTCAGTAAAGAGCAGAGACAACTCTTGATTCCCTGCAGAAAAGCTTGCAAAGGCTGAGGTTTATTGTCCTCTCTGTTGTGTGTGAGAAATCAAAGTGGTGAAGGCAAAAGGGCAGCAATTCCCTCATTTTTTCCCCTGCAGGCTGGGAAGCAGCCTCAGCTTGGATCAGACTGATGCTGGGGTCAGGACTGGAGCTGTGCTTGTAACCAGCTCACCACAAGATTGGGGAAAAAAAGCCTGGAGGAATGTTGGGGCTGACTCCAAATGTAGCATTTTGTTCCAGAAAAGCATTAAAGAAAGAAAGAAGGGAAAGATGGGGATGAAAATGGTTTAAAATACAATGTGTTGGTTTGGAATTAGGCCTCTTGAGGAACAGTGGGGTCTTTGGGGTTTTTGCTAAAATCCAGTGACCTTGGTAAAGCAAAAGCAATTCTACAAAAGTTGTCCTTGAGAGCACTCAGGAGGAGAAGGGCCGAGGTGCCCCAAGCCTCTTAAGAAGAAGCTTGGCAGGAAGAGAAGTCCAAGTGTCTCAGTGCTTGGTGACACATCGTGGTGACCACTGTGGGCATTTTGCAAGCTCGGCAGTGTCTTTCTAAAAAACAGAATTTCAATCCACCCCTCCTGAAGGATGAGGTGGTTTAGAGTGTCGTCTTCCTGTCCCCAGCCCTTAGGTACAACCCTTAGGTCCCCAACCCTTAGGACAAGTGTCCCAGTGCTGGTGTCACTTAATGACAAGGTTTTCACTCTGGAAGTGGGTGAGATGGGAAGGTAAAGCCATCTCCATTGCTTCCCAGTGCCAGGAGATTGTTGGAATCTGAGGTATGGATGATTCTGAGATTGTAGAAAGTCTCTGACTTTCTGCCCCGTTGCCAAAGCAGAAGCCATAATTGGTCTGTGCTGTTTCAAGGTTGTTTATTCTGTTTATCTCTAACATGTTCTGCTGCCCTGCCGCAGCTCTGTCCTGCAGGGCAGCGTGTGGGGCTCTGCCCTCAGTGGGATGGTACAAACATTAAATACCACAAACTACCTGTGCTGGATTTACAATAACGTGCCAATATCTGTCACCTACGTTGGACAGTGTGTCCCCAGCCTGAACCAACAGAAAAATGCCAACACCACAGTGAAACATGGAGGGCATGAAGAAGGAGAAAAAGGACAAGACACACCCAATTTCCTCCATCTTGTCCCCTTTGGACCCCTAATCTAGAATCCTAAAATTTTACTTTTGCACCCGTGCCACACTTAATTATTACTTATATCAAACACTCAGAGCTGGTAATTCATGCTGTAAGATTGAAAACTCTTTTGCATGGACAGAGATCACAGCCAGTGTCTCTGGGGGCTCTGTCCAGGGGGGTTCCTGACCCCTGCCAGGGCAGCCAGAGGGATGTCCTGGATTCCCACAGAGACTCAGCCATGAGGAGGGACATCTCATCCTTTGGGGTCTGACCCACAGCCAGGACCCCCCTACAGGCACGGCTTACACTGCCAGGATCTTCCTGGAGCACCCTTGGCTTCCAGCACTGGCAGCTCAGATCTGGACACCCGGTGGGAAAATACCACTGGACACTTGTCCTGCAGCCCATCCAGCTCAGTTATCAGGCTGTGAAATAAGAACATTGTGTCACTGTAGGACACGTGAAAGCACGACACGAGCCGCTGCTATTGCAAAGGTGAAAAAGAGGAAGTTTAATAGACTCTAGTATTTATACTTTAAAAAAGGTGACAGTGGATTGGAGGGTGAATGTGTCACCTCTCCAATGACGTTGTACAAACTACTAGCACATTAAGTTTTTCTGCCTTTATGGAGGAATGCAAAACAATAGATTGTTTACAGAAGGTTGTGTGAGACAGTTTTTTATGAGAATGTAAACTCAGAAGGCTTTAGAACATCTTAAGAATCAAACAACATTGCTGCCCCAGCATTTTGCTCAAATTATTTAAATTCCTCCCCTTTTGGAGCAGAGATTTCTACATCCACACCCCTGGCCATGGCAACCTCACCCACCCTCCTCTCCCTCTCTCTCCCTCAGTGAAGAAGCAGGACCTGGCCAGCGCCGTGGGGAGCCACCTGCCCATCCTGCAGTGGGAAGACAAGCGAGGCTTGGCCTTCACCAAGAACAACCTGAGTTATTCCAGCAACGCCCTGGTGATTCCTGTCTCTGGGGACTACTACGTGTACGCCCAGGTCACGTTCCGAGGGCCCGTTGAGAGCAGCCACAAGGCCAGCTCTGTCACTGAGATCATCACCAAGGTCACCGACAGCTACCCCGAGCCCACCCAGCTGCTGACGGGCACCAAGACCCTCAGTGAGAACGGCAATGGTTGGTTCCAGCCCATTTATTTGGGCGCTGTTGTCTCCTTGGAGGTGGGAGACAAGCTGATGGTCAACGTGAGTGACATCAAGCTGGTGGATTACACCAAGGAGCACAAAACTTTCTTTGGGGCCTTTCTGCTGTAGGGCTCTGGAAGCAGCTGGTGGGAGATCCCTGCGGGGTCATCGAGGCAATCTTGATGGATTTTGGTTTTGTGGGCGCGTGTTGGGGTGAGATCTGTGCTGTCTTCCTTCTTCTTCTTCTTCTTCTGTGCCATCACTGCCCTGCAGCTTGCTAGAGCCTTAATTTAATGGGTAGGGAAAGGTGAAGCTGCAGGTTGAAGTGAAATAACCCCCAAAAAAAAAAAAAAAACCAACAAAAAAACCCAAAAACTAACCCCAAAAAACCCCAAATAAACAAACAAAAAAAACACCTCAAAATAACAAAAAAACCCCCAAACAAACAAAAAAAACCCAAAAACACACTCTGAAATATCCCAAAACCAAACAAACAAAGAAAAGCCAAAACAGAAAAATGAAAGTCACATTGAAGGGGGGAAAAAATGTATTTTTGAAAGCAAAAGTTGAAAGTTCTTCAAAACTTTGTAAGCTAAGGAGAAACGTTTGAAATTTCTGGGTAGGAAGTTTCCTCTTGAATATTGAGCTAAGCTATGTCCCTAATTCCACCTTTAATGTACAATTTCCTCAACTCCAAAAAAAAAAGGGTTTTTGAGCTTTCCCTAGCACTTCCAGTATAGTTTTGCATGACCCTTCTTCAGATTCTCCTTTCTAAAACATAATTTACTTCTCATCATTTCCTTATGAACACATTTACTCAGTACTTTGCACTAACATAAAGCTCAGGTTAACAATTAACTGCTTAATTAATCCCTTCCAACTCCCCTGTAAAGTAGATTAAAATTATATCTTGTGCTTTGCAGCAGCTACTTGAGATTTTTGGTTTTTCCAAAAAATTGTTTACAGTTCTCTAAGCCCATACACAGCCTCAAAATATTCTGGAAAAGATCTAGGGAACACACAAAACACTTTCTGTTTCAGCATGGAAGTGGAATGTCCCCTCCAGGTCCTAACTTTAGGATAACAAAAAAAAAAAAAAAAAAAAAAAAAAAAAAAAAAAAAAACAAAAAACAAAAAACAGGCTAGAGAGAGAGAGAGCGAGCAAAATTTTGCACACTTTTAAATCAGCCACCAAAATTTTGGGAGAAAATGAGAAAACCTCTGCAATGTTTTGCTTTCCATTATATGTAATGCAAAGCAAATGCAACTGAAGAAATCACTGCTTGGGCTCCAGCCACAACTGATGGTGGCCTCTGTCCCCAAGGGACTCCCCAGCCTTGCCCTGGGTGAAGGTTGGCCACCACTTGTCCCCACACAAGGTGAAAAATCCAATGACACGGCTCTGGTGGAGCTCAGGACTGTTTAACTTCCCACCTTGCACTTACTCATTTCCACAGACCTTTCTGCCTCTCAGGGAAATTCCCATTTTCCGCTCCCCTCCTGCAGCAAACACATCTCCAGCAGTGGCTCAGGACCCTGATGGATTTGGACTTTACACCCTGAACAGCCCCGAGGTCTCACAGCCAAGCACCCGTCCCCAACCTCCAGGCTCCCCTCTCTGCAGCTCTTCCCGCCTCACTCCTTGGATTTCCTCCATTTCTCCACTTCTTGCCCAAAAATTACATCAAGGCTTTGTTGCCTGAACTGATGTTTCCACTCCAAGCCGTGGTGGAGCCCAAAGTCCCCCCATCAGTGGTGGGGAATTGCATCCCTGGGGTGAGGGGCCGTGTCTGGAGAGCTGAACTGGGCACAGATTTGTAGTGGGGACAACCCCCTGTGAGGTCCTGCAGCTTTGTCCATGGCAAGCCCCTTCCCACCAGGAGACCTTTTATTGCTCTGGGAAGATCTGCTTGAGCTGACAAGAAGTCAGTGGGGCAGCTGGAGCAGGGAGAGAGGCCAAGGAGATTGGGAAGGGAGGAGAGGAGCAGAGTAGGAGGAGGAAAGGTCCAGGCAACACCAGGATCTCTTCATGTCTTGGTGCAAGGACTTTCCTGCTGACATGAAAACTGGCAGGTCTTTTGTGGTAAATCATCTCAAAACTGTGGCTTTTTGCCCATTCTTCCCTATCCTGTAATTCCTGGATCCCACAGTCTTTATCCTTCCCCAGGACTTTGCCACCCTGCCCTGCCCTCTATTCCTGCTCACAGATTTTCCTTGAGTCTCATCACTGAGTGTTGCCCCTGGCTATTTGGAGAGCTTGAGAAATTTCCTGCATCAAAACCTCATCCCACTTTGGCTTCCCATCCTTTCTTTGACTCATCCTTCACCTTCCCCACATCCACATCTCAGCTGTCCTCGAGCCCTTTCTCCCTCCTGCCTTCTTGGCCCTGTCCACCAGGTGCAAGGACACTTCTTTGTCCAAATACCATTTTTTACACTCAATTTCTCCAGCCCACAAAGAAAACTGACATCTCAAAATAGGTTTGGATTGGAGAAAGTAAATTGAATTATCCTGCAGGCAGATGAAAACACTCTGAGACAAGGGATCCTCTTATGTTTTTATGATCCAGGTCACTTCCATCTTTGAGTCCTTATTCCTGTTTTATCTCCACCTGCTCAGCCGAGTTTTTTAAGCTGGATCTGGAGCAGTTATTCACTAATTATCCATTTAGTGATTAGCACACACGACCTCAGCCTTGTTCTGGTGACCCAGCTCCATTTCAGGGCTCTTCCTCCTGCTCAGAGACCCCCTCTACCAGGGTAAAATCTGGTGAAATCCCCCATTCTTGGCACTTCTAGACAAAATTACTCCCAGTGAAACCCTGAAACTTTCCATATCTCAAATTTTGTGAAGTGTTCCCTCAACACCTCACGTTGAGTCTTTGATCACTTGGTTGTGTGCCCAAAACAGGACCTGACCTCAGGAAAACACAAAATCTGCAGCTTTTGGAATATGTAGAGCACTTTAGGTGACCAGCACACAAAACAACATGGTCAGTCTCATAAAGGAGGATTTGAAATCATCTTTCCAAGACAGGTGATTCCCAGCAATTAGGCAGGAGAGCTCCTGCAAACTAGGGTGAATTTGGTTTATCCTTGGAGGAAATTGGAGGGGAAATTCTCTCTATTCTGAAATAATTGCAGTGATTCAGAAAGCTTCTCTTTTCTACGAATGAGCAGATCATTCTGAGGGCACAAGGCAATCCTGACAGGCTGGGACAGCAGATTTCCAGGGAAACTCTATCCCAAGGCATCATCACCCAATCCTGGTGTGCTGAACGATGGGCTGGGGCAGAGGAGTGGGGAATGCAACATTTGGCATTCAGAGAGCCTTCTGTGGGACATACACACATTATTTTTTGTTTTTTTTCTGGTGGATATTTCATAGAAGTCTCCAGAAGTTCCATTGGCAATAATGAGCCTTTTCTAGCAAATAATCTGTGTCCACTGCACACTAAAGATGAATTTCACCAGCAAAACTTTGCCTGCTGTAGCTGCATTCCAGGTGTGATTCTCCTGATTCATAACCCACAGAAATATTTATTTTAATCCACTTAGAGCTTTTGCACCCCATTACCCACACCAGCTTTGAGCACATTTAGCACACATTTTATAGGATATAAAACAATATATCTGGCATTACTTGTTTTAAAGTGGTGCAGGCATATTGATCCCCACATGTATCCTGATGGAAATTCTCTATAATCCCTTTTTTCCCCCTTTTCAGTGCTAATAATGTTACTGTAACAGTGACCAGCACATAAAATAAGTGTTCAGGGGCTGATTCTGGCCCTGTTTTATATTAGATATTCCTCCACAGAAGTCAAAGGCATGAGGTGAAGCCACTTTAGTGAGACCAAAGTCAAGCTTAAAGGGAAATATTTCCAACACATTAAACCTAAACTGTGGATTCTCAGATTTTTAATCTTTTTTTTTTTTTTTTTTTAAGTTAAATAAGGACACAAGTGTTCTCAGAAACTTGTGTTTGTTGAGTTAGAAAATGTAAGCATTTCTAGAGATGTGAAAATGCCCAGGCATCAGCATTTTCAATTAAATGAGAAGCTGGTGAGATCTGGTCATGGGATGCACTGACCTTAAAGTCTGTGGTCAAGCTGAACATGTGCTTTGTTTTCGGAGGGGCTGTGAAACTAAAACCATCATAGGAAAAGAAAATGGAATCTGGATAAAAAAGGGTGAAATAGGCAGCTTGGGCTAAATGAGGTAAAACATAGGATTTTAGGCTTTGACCCTTCCGTTTCTTACCAAAAAGAACCTGAAAGCACTTTTCAGAACAAAGCCACTGAAAGAAGTATCAAATTATTACTATTATTTAACTGCTCAAATTATTCTAGATCTTAGGAATTGTCTTCTTCACTAATTCTTTTCATCCCCCCAAAAAACTAACACTAAGCACAACCCAAATTCATCAGAGTTCATTACCTAACACTTCCTTTCCTCTTAGAAACTGAATATTGATAAATAAGCATTAACTTTCTCTCCATCTACATGCAGAAGTAAATCTAGGAAATTTTAATTAAGGTATAAAGAAAACAGCTTCAATCCTGCCAACTTTTATTTGTGCTGAGCATAGCCCCGAGGGGAAGGGGATCATGGTGAAAACCAGCTCCTGGTTGGTAGATGGGAGGAGTAAAACCTGCATGCCTCAGATTAAAAGGGAATAGAAAGTTTTAATTGTGTTTATCCTCAGCTCCATCATGGTTTGGGCAATCTGCCAAATCAAGGAGTGACTGCAGGGACTGTCCAGCACAGTTGGCAGGATCAGTGTCCAAAGGGTGTCAAACATCACCCAAAAAGATGCTGCTGAGATGATTTTTGGCAGGGGATGTGAGGAGCAAACATCTCTACAAACGGGGTCCCCAACCAAGCCAAACAGATTTACTAATTCGCTTGAAAATTCCAACACAATGTTCCAGAATTTTGAAGGAATCTTGTTTTTTTCACCCCTCTATGGCACAACTGACCACCCTGTCCTTTGTTTTATTTATCTTGTGAGTGGCCCATCATTTCAGGTGAGAAATGAGGAGAGAATTCGTTCTTTAGAAGAATCAGAAAATGTCAAGGATCTTTGCCCCAATGTGGGTGTTACACACCAGTAATAGCATTTTGCTATTGTAAGGGATTCTCTAGAAGGGATTGTCTTTTGTCTTGTGCCTCAGCACTGAGATGTATCTTTACCACAAGAACTGACTAAACTTCTTTATATCTTCCCAAGTTTTATGATAATAAAAATGCAACTTAACGAATGTGACCACTTTTTGATGCCAGTCCCTTCCTAAAATACTAATCATAATTAAGAGTGACTAGTTCATGCAGCCAGGCAGTGCTGATGTATAAGAAATGAGTTTGATTGTGTGTAAATGTGTGAATAATCATTATTTTATGCAGTTAGA